AAAAAAAGTTTACTAATTGTTTTCGTTAAACCATAATTCTATTTAAATAGCACATGATACAAATAAATTTCTTATCTGTATTAGATAAATGATAGCTTGGATAGCAACACTAAGAATGTTAATCTGTTTCTAAAGTATTCTTATTTTATATTTTATACTAATCTTAATTTAGTTATTGTCTCAAAACGGTTCAGAAAAAAGAGCCAGTAATACATTCAATAGTATTATGTAACATATAATCTAATGGTAAATTACTGAGAAGGGAGAACGTTATTCGTTCCCAGAATAAATGTATTTTTTTCTATTATAAATAATAATGGATTAAAAGTATAAAAATATATATTAAATACAATTGATTATAATAAAACGCCACGTTTTATATAAAACATAAAAAATAATATGTAACATACATAATAAACAAATCAACAAACTCCACACGGCCTTTCAACATTGAGTGCCAAGATCATAAACATACATAAAAAAATAAATGCACTAAATATGTATATTATCGGATTTACTTTTTTCTAAAATAAATCTATAGAAATTCGTAGAATACAGATATTTTAAGAAAGCACAATAGGTGAATCTATACAATTAAGTGTTTAAGAAAAAAAGCCATTTAACATGTTCGGCCAGCCAGAGAAACTAATACGAAGACCTTTACGTGAACACAAAACCATGAATGACTTCCCTCATATAAAAACTAAATAACACAAAAAGATCCATACTACATGTTAAGCCAGCACACCTACAAACAAAACGAAAGATAAATACTATCTTACTACAAGAGTATAGTAACAACCGTTAGCAATTTCAATATTTCACGTAATAAAGATATGATGCCCATGCCTCATTGGAACAACAGAACATTGAACTTTTTCTACAATTCTCTAAATCTAATGAGATACCAAAATACAATACAACTAGCCTCTATATCTTTATCCACTCTTGTTGGACGTAAGCAAGAAATATCGACTATTTACATACTGAACCTGAATCCAAATAATTACGATCTAACATGAGCGCATTACAGTTATTGTAAAAACATAAATGAACCTCCTATCATCAATTTACTAAATACACTTTAATTCCACACGTATGACATACATGACCCAGATTCATTACATGGCACACACCCAAGTAATTTAAATCGTTAAAAGACTCCATCACAAAGGTCTATAAGTCTTTTGCTATTTCTTAATCTCAACTTAAAGCTTTAGCCGGCTCCAAACTCGATAAAGACTAATAATCAATTACTCCCTTTCTGCGCAATTTCCTCGCGTCCAACACCGCACAAATCTAACGTTCAAACCCCACATACCCCCCACACTCCAGCTCCCTCCTCTGCAGACCAGTCTTAGTCCCGGATAAACCCTCAGCTCCGCCAGTCTTTTTATCTATCAAAAAATCAGCCACAAAACTAGGAATCACTACACAGATACCGATAATTTTAAAAATCCACACCAGGCTTAGCAATAAACGCAACAACATACCGGAACATTACATCTACAATAGAAATCCTTAACTTTCTTCATAGTTCTCAATACACAAACTAAGCTAAACCTGAGCGAAGAACATACACCACTAGCCCTTAAACTCCTATACATAGGACTCACCGCACACCGCCTACAGCGGCGTTTGAGGAGTCGACGGTGGGAGAGACTCAAGAACTGTGAGCGAGGACATCAATAACCTTCTAAACAGCTAAACGCCATTCGAATCCCTTCCAGTTCTAATGTCCACTGAAATCAGAGTACTCTCACCTGCTCCCTTCAGTTGTCGGACCTCCCAATAAAACTCCTCCACCCACATAATGGCCACACTTCAAAAAATCACACTCCCCACTAAGAATTTCTTCTAAGAACCAATTATCCCATCCCCCGACGAATTCGAACGCGAAAATCTTTACCTAAATCTTCCACCCAAATCACCTAGGAGACCCTAACCAAACTAACATCCATACTACATCAAACATCGACATACTCCCACAAACTCCTGTAAGCCACAATCCAGCTCATCTAACTATAAACCAACTAATACCCTACTATCACAGGCGGTTTCTAGCAACACAGGCAAAGTGGAGCCCCCACGCCGAATCGTACTATTAACAAAAATAATTATAAAAATAAGATTGCGTGCAGTTCATGAATAAAACTGGTCACAGATTCACACACTCTCAGAGCTCTAGAGTATCTCTGTAGCTGTATGCCCTTAATCAGCTCCCACTGATTCCAAAACAGTCACTCAGCCTGGGAGAGACGCACCATCAGGATTTCCTTGCGGGTCCATGCGTTGGTTTACCCACATTTGGTAGTACAAAGTCTTGCGACTACTATAATTTATGAGTGATGTGTTTCATTTAATTTTTACATATTCATTACCACTATCTATCAAATTATTTCATTATTTACATATGCATATTAATATCCTAATTTATTTTTTCAATATCTTCATGAGGTTCTTTATTGATCTCTAACTAAGTACATCTATAGATTGCATAGTACATATTGCCTGAACTGAATAAATTCTTAATGCCCTAAAAATATTAAAGAATACGCTGCTCTCTCTCGATGTTGCTCAACGCACGATGAGTGAATTTCCGGAGGGTTCAAATTAATAAATACAGACACATAATACTTCCAGACAAGATAATCACGTAACAATTTGACTAAAATCACTAACAACATTCATCTTTGTAATTTTATTATTAGCAAGAACAGAAAAACAATTAGACCATCTTCAGAAATTAAAGTGAACAAGAAATAGAACATAATATCAACGAATATCGAAACTCCATTATAATGCAAAGTGTAAACATAACCACATCCAACTGCGATTAATCAAATATCTAAAAAGTTTGCTCTCCCAACTCACTATCACTAGAATAATTCTATTTCTAAACTTAATACCATTTTTAATATCCACAGTATAAATTTACTTCTTAATGCTCGACCATACACAAATACTTATACACTTGTAAAAAATAAAATACTAAATCTACTAACCCAACTAACAACATTGTATTACATAAAAAATTAACATATTAAATAAGTTCCCGAACCAACACAATTTCAAAATAAGACTTTTGATACATGTGCGTAATATAAAATCAAACATATGATAGTTTTTTCTCCTTCTTCATTTACACTAACACTATTTATCTAACGTAATATAAAATATACCAACTTTATTCAGTTCTCTAGAACTTTCTATGATTAAAATTCAATATTAATAATTCTATTCATTAACTAAAGAAAACTAACAGCCTCCGCGCTGGACATTATAAAACCCGTGAAGTGGATTTGAAGTGAGAAGGAAGCGAACAATCCTAGATAATAGCACATAAATACGCTTTGCCTCCAACAAAAGTACAGATGGGTAAAAAGTCCTGGTATTAGTCAGGAGTTTCCCTAAAATGGCCAAGATTTATAATAAGTAAGCAAAATAGGTATCGCTGCGTCTCAAAGATGTTTATTGTCTATTTGTATTTTTAAGGTCAATTTTTAATTTCTAATTTTAATATTATATACTTTACTAAATAAATTACTATATGAATTACAATTTCATTCCCTTAATTATGAATATTTATATTAATTGTATCTTATCCGCTGATAATATTATTATAGAAATTAACACTTAAAATTTAAATTTAATTTTAACAAATTTCACTATAACGTATAAATATAGTAGTAAAATAAATAATAGTAAGTACAGACTATTATTGATTTTTAGCCAAAAATTTGTGAAATATGGTGTGAATTGTGCATCTCTGATCATATAAATAAAAGAAGAGGGAGGCGGGGGGGGGCGGGGGGGGGGAGGGAGGAGATGCGTGTCACTTGGAATTTTAGGCACTTAGAAGTATGATAGATATAATTATTAATCAATACAACAGAATAGGGGATTACTTCAAAGAAATGTTAAATTAAAAAAAACTACTAGAAGAAAATCGTGTAAAGGTTGAAACTATAAAAAAGCAAATACACTATTTTAAAATTTAAAACCAGAAATTTATATAAAAAAAAAACTCTGTAATTCTAAAATAGTAATGCATAAAGACTAACAGCCATCACCCCACCTAAGCAAAAACAACTCCGCGCCACAACACTTAAAACACAAGCTTTTACACCAAACACCAACCGGAACCTAACAAAACCCCAAAACGAAAAACAGTGACGCCCAAACACCCCAACCCCCCCTCATCGAGACAACCAATGCACACAAAATAAAAATCCTACCCACAAGCACACACCAAAAAAACAATACCCCAGAAAGAAACAAGCCCCAACCACACACCCCCCCTACACCGCCCCACCCCACCCTCTCCCCTACCAAGATAAACGTTAAAACAAACCCCTACAACCCAGACAACCCCTACTCCCACGCACCGTCCAATCCACCTAAATCCACCAACACACCCATCAACCCGAACCCTCCACACCAATAACCTCCACAGTACCCGAAACAACTGTCCCTGATAAAACCAGTTCCCTCATACGGCCGGCCCCTCTCCATAAAACCATCCGCCCGTACACAACACAACTCTACTTGAAAACCATAGCCAGGACATTACATATCCGAGGCAGTACACATCCAGGAAAACAGACAACAATGGGTCTAAAGTACACCGCATAAAACTTCACTCAGTTATATCCACTACAAATAAATTTTCACAGAACTTATTACAAGTCGATAAAAAACACAAATTGTGATGTAGATAATTAATAGAACCAAAAAAGATAAATAAATACACCAAAAATTTAACACCATAGAGCATTAAATATTCCACACATCGCGTAAAAACACAAGCAAAACAATATAAACACACTAGACATGCCATGAAAGAAAAAAACGTCCGAAAACAAAAAAGAAGGAACAAGGACAAACAAAAACACGACGATCCTCTAGAAAAAATATTAATATCTATAAATTTAATATATCAATTACAATGAATAACAAATAATTACCGTATAAATTGCAACATATCAGTTTGGTGCGAAATGAGAACCGAAGAGATGTGAGGGGCGTAACACAAAGTCAGTCAACCACACTAAGCAACAGAAAAGATCCGATCACATATGGAAGATTCATAACTAGTGGACAGAGGAACCGAAAACCTCGAACAAAGCCATCGAATTTCATTTAACCTACAAAACACCCAAGACTTCTCGAACTTAGCAAAAACTTCTTAATGTAAATTAAACTAGAAGATCGTATTCGAAAAAAACTTTCAGGAAAAAATTGAACTTACCTAAGAATTAAAATATTACCAAAAGTGACGAAAATCTCACCCCTAGGATGAAGTAACTGACCTACGATTCCTCACAACAGAAAAACAAAATAAAAGAAAAGAGAAAACAAAAAAAAGGGATCTCACAAAAGTTCTACCGAGTCCTTCAAAACCTATGAATAATGAATCGTCTAAATTAAACAAAACAAGAAATATTTTATTGTTCCTTATAACAAAGCAAGAGAAGGACATCCACAACAAAATATTAGTACTAAACTTTATATCTGAAAAAGAATAAAAAATAGTCCACAAGGCGACCCAAACTTTAATGGAATAAAAAACAAGAGGAAGGTACTGGGATCAATCGAAAAAAAACTAGTAATAGAAATACCATTAAAAACAAAAATACCGCGGTGAGGGATCGAACCCTGAATTAAGAAAAGTATTCTTTACAAAAAAAAGATAGGCAAAACGATATATAAACGATAGATAATAAACTTCCATCCAAAAACTTAAATCACCTTATTAGTCATTTTTGAATGAATAAACGAAACTATCGATATAGCAATAATACGATGAAATTAAACATAATAAGTCAAAATACAGCATACATTAAGAACATACAATAAGCAATACAGTCAGGTATTACAACTCTGTAATTCTCGTAAAAAACCAAAAAAAAAAAAGAATAGAAAATGGCAGTACAAAGGTCAACGGAAAATACGGCTTTGCTCGCCTTAAAACAGACAACTCCGTTAAAAAATAAAATAGACAGCTGCTAAATTAGAAAAAAGACAGTACTGTCCCCGCTTTAACACTAAACAACACACCGAAACCAACACAATGAAAGCAACAACCCTCCAACACACACAAGGCATAAACAGACCCCCCCATACCAGCAGCTAACATCGAATACTCCGACAACGCCTAAGCCCATTATCTCCAATTCCACTCAACCCACACACCCTCAAGAATAAAAACTAGAGCAGAAAATCTTATGAAGGACACCCATAACTACAACAAAACCATAGACACAATAAAGAATAAATACCAGCAAACCAAGGGTAAAAAAAACATCCATTCTAAAATCACATTAAAAAATAGAACATAAATACGCAACTAACTATATCATCTAGGGACTGAGATCACCGATAATAATCATAAAACATATATGGTCAATCCAAAAAAACATCAACTTGTAACAGCAATACATCTAAGGGCCAACGGATAAAATGACCAACAATTAAAACTTAAAATAGAGATAAAATCTACGCGATCAATAAACTGAACTTACACCCAGCCGTACCAACACCACACAACCTACAAAAGTTCTCATGCCTCGCTCACACTAACCAAGTCCGTGATCTCCCTCCGTTGACCTCGCTACTTTCTCATCTCCCCATTACACCCCCAACAATCAGAAAATAAAACAACTACCCACACTCCCGACCCCCCCCGCTTCCACCACGCACAACCCACCCATCCAATCTTTCCCCCCCCCCACATACATCCCCAAACTACGTAACAAACCATTTCTACCCATCCAGAACAGAAAGACCCCCCTTTAGCACCTCGAAAGACACCACCCCACCTACCCCTCCCCTCTACGCCTCCCCAATCCTCAAAGCACCTCCCCCAAACGCCCACGAGCTCACCCCCAACCCCACGACCGCACTCCTCAATCCACCACCCCCACCCCCTCTTCAGCCAAAAAATCGCAGTTCTCCCTCCCGACCGGAATCAGAAGGCCGCCGACCCACCACATACGCAACAAAGTCGCCCCCAACCACACAAATTGAACCAACCCAAACACGTGAAATCCTGCCCTGTCACCCAAACCCCCATCACCCCAGAAATCCAGTATCGTCAATAAAACTAAAATCGCCCGATCAGGTCCAATTTAAAATCCAATCCCAACACTTCGTGCTAACGTAGACAACCCCAGACTAGGACCTTACCATATCGTGACACAGCAAATAAAATAAATCTAATTATGAATATCTCATACAGTTACTAAAACACGATAAAGTCCTTAAAATACAAAGAATGAAAAAAGAAACCAAAGCTATATAAGCACCATTAAAATGTAATCGCCACGTGAAGAAAATTATCTCAATTATATTATTACCTAACACGTATTACAGCGGCGGATCACAAATAAAGAATGCAAATTCGGCGTTGTTGTAACACGAATTCATGAACTCATGCTCAACGGATAAATATAACTCAAATCCATCTTTATCAGCGGATCTCCGAGAATAATTCTCCATAACGCAAATACTATTAAATTTTTAATCAACAACCATGATAAGACGTGACATCCGAAAAACGCCCTATAAAAAAGTATAAGCATATCGAGCCATAGTATTATCGCAACAACCAAAAAATAAGATTAGGAAAAGATGACATCGTAGGCAAGAAAAATATGTTTTTAAATAAAAATTCATCTTACAATAAAATATTATAAAGTTTCGGGACAAAGAAAGCTCGAAACTTACAGTAGCTTGTTGTAATTACAGAATAATAATCCAAGCATTTTCCCGCTATTAAACAAATCTGACCTTAAGATTTCCTTCTTACAATTATTCGTTTTTATAAAGTTAAATCAAAAAGATAAAAAACACTAAGATATCTAAATTTATCATCAAACAACTGTCAAAGCATAAAAACATTAATTAACCATGCTAATAATCGATAACCACCTTAAGTATATTAAATAGCCAATTATAGTAGGCGCAGACTGAAACACATAAAAAACTTATTATGTTTTATATTCTCCCAGGTTTAATTCTTCGAGGTCCTAAGAATCTTTAAAGCCCAGACTAATGTATCATTAAAAATTATGAGTGATCGAGAGAGTGAATTATAAGTTTATATAGTATCTGTCAAGAGATTCCTTCAGCTAACAACAGGGTGTTAACCAATAAAAAGATCAGCATCCTGCATAAAAGTGAGCCCAGCACAGGATGTTGAGACCAACCCATATCCAATAACCCCTAATCTCGTATATCGGACATTAAAACCTCACCTAAATGGAGGCCAGTTCTAATATGACCAAATTTCTGAACACGACAAAAGAGGACGAAAAAGGAGGCGAATCCCACGTTATTTAAAATCACAAAGACTCGGAGGGGTGAAGTGAGGAAATAAAAAAAGAGGGAGATTATAAACAAGAGGACGGGGATTCTCCTACTAAAATATACATGCAAACTGTCATGCTGTTGAACAAAGGTATAATGGGCATTACGAAACAAGATGACACATAAGGGAGGTAATGCGATACCAAGAGAAAAAAGGGTATCTTGATCTAAACAAAGGGAATGGATAAGCGACAAGTAAAACAATACCGTTATCTGAGGAGCTTAAATAAGGTAATAGGCGGTGATGACCTGGTCCTAAAGGTTTAAAGATAATAATCAGAAACAAACCTAATTAGAAGACTATACATAATAGACTATACAAAATGGACTGTAAAGAAAGCCATAAAAAACAATATAGGACATAACCTATTAATGCAATAAGAGCTTGTAAAGACACCTGCAGACTACGACATACGACAGCAAATGGAAGATCCAGGAAAAAAAACCACAAAAATAATAAAAGTTAAGAAGTCTCGCCAAAAAAGGGCAATAACATACCTCGTAATATTGAAACCATCGCAACTAAGCACATGGTTAAAAATCGTAATCTTAGTGACCCCGCGGTCTCGAGGCAGCTTACTGCACACACAGGTACACAACCACGAAGACGCACCCCAGCACAACTGCCCCCTCCACACTACTCCCCAAATCCTCCCGCCCATACCGTGAACCGCACACCAATGTGTGCATCCTATACCATTGTGCTCGCAGCTGCCATTAAGACAGACAAAACGAAACATGCCACTCCCTCCACCCCCCACCAAATGAACTTAACTCGCAACAGCAGACACACCCCCCCTAAAACCAAAGCTCAAAAGTCCACCTACCCCCATATACACCGCCAACCTTCCCAGCACACCCCCCCCAAACACAATCCAACACGTTACCAATCGATGAAGCGCGCCATCCCCAAATCACACTAACACTACCGCCGCGAAACGCGGGGCCGCCCAACCGCCTCTAACAGCGTCAAAGATTCCCTAAATGCGATCATACAACAACAACTTACTAGTTAACCACTAAGCGCCCCCCCATCCACCAAGAACAAGCGACTATACCCCACCAAATAGACAGTGGCCCAACCAGCCAAGCCGGTCGCAAATGCAGAACACCCACACAACTGATACCCGCTCACTGTTACGGAGTACTTCATATAAACTCTCGACCGAACTAAACCCCAATCCGACCCCCCGCCCCCACCAGATCCAGTAACAGACGACATTAGGAACAGATATGCCGCCCAGACCCTTCGACAAATCGGGAAAAAAAAATAAAACACAGAAGTAACCATACCAGCAAAATGAAGAGTCACAGAGCACAGGCGACAAAAAAAACAAATGGATGACATAAAAGTCTAACAAATAGGTTGAGTTGGTACCTTCGAATAGACGTACACCCGCCGTAGAAGTAATTCACAAAAAAAAAAGATAAAATTTAACTAAAATACTATAGAATAATGATCTGCTGGATGCGCACCGAAAGGTCAAAGCGTTGACCTAACTGATTACAACACTACTGAGGGGGGAGAGATACCACAATAGAAAAAACAGCGACGAGTTCCGTTCCCCCGCAAGCCTAAAATGCCAACCACGTCCCCATCGACTGACCATAAACAAAGCCTCGAAACACCGCACAATCTCACGGCAACCAGTAACTCTACATAGGAAGACGAGTCTTCAAGTGTTAAGAAGCCGACGAGTGTAGGCACCACCCAAAAAATATCGTCAAAGGCCGTGTCTGTCAACTCATGCAAGCAAAACTACGAAAGCTATAATGATGTAGGAGAGAAATCCCACGAAGAGACCTTACAGAACTACACAGGAAAAGCTGGGTGTCCATTATTAACTAAACTAACAAGCCCAAACCCCCATCAGAACTAAAACCCCCCCCATCACCCACGAAACACAAAACAACAACCCAACCCCAAAATCTCCCAACTAACTAATACCAACAAAACACCCAAATCAAACCTACCACCTCGGCATCCCACATCCACAAGACTTCCACATACCAACACCCCAGCACCACCCACCAGACAATACTCCCCACAAAAATAAAACTCCCCATGAATGACACAACTAACATCACAACCACACCACCCTCCCCGTTCCCCAACGAATATACATAAATGAACCCAAAGAGACCCCTCCCCGTTACAATCACCTCGACAATTACACACACGAGACCCTCCCACACCCATCACCTCCACTATAACCCAGATGTTCCTTCACACAAAACCAAACATTACACAATCCAACTAATCTGTATTCGCCAACCGGATCACACAACCATTAAACTCTCCCAGCGCCAACGTCTCATACATCACGCACTACATCTAATCCCAAAGTATGGTCAAGAATCCTAGCCAACGCGTTAACATGTGTCCTGCCCCAGAATTGATATTAGACGAGATAGGTAATTGAAAACCCCTAAAAGTATAAAATTAACTAAACCGATAAAAATACATGCACCTAAGATTCAAAAGTACCCCACAAGAATACGAAATCACGATAGATTTTTCACGAATAATATTCAAAATTCTGTACATAAACCACAGGTGACCAGACCAGTAAAACAATCACCAAACGCCGACTAAACTACCGAGCCCCCACCAACACCCCTAAAATACCCAAGCAAACGAATCACGATCAAAACAAGTGTCTCAATGATCAATCTATTGTACAACATAAGAATTAATACCCCCAAGAACAGTACTAAATAAAATCAAACATCAAAACCCCAATAAACCCAGAAAAAACTCCAAACAAACACGCAAGTGTCACACTACCACATAACACACCACACTCACGTAACCGTTTTCCACCCACCGCCACTCCTTCTTAACCACACAACAATACCAACATCCCGCCCTTCCCCCGCGCCAGCTGCACCTAAACCCCCACATGCCTACCACGACCCATCCGTAACCAGCCCCCCAAAATCCTATCCACCACCCCCTATCCAAATCACCCAACCAACTCTCAAGTACCCCACCCACAAAACAATCCCTCCCAACCACTTCAACCCCCCCGACACCGACCACAGTGACAATGTAATGTCTTACATCCATACCGGACCCCCAGACTTTAACTCGCCACTCCCCATCAACAACTACACTACCCAAGCAACCTGCACACTCACATAACCAGCACAAACCCACAGATCTAACCTAAATTGCTGGACACTCTAAACCCTAAAACAAAAAAGATGTCCCAAACCTGCCGCGTAACACGACCCAAAATACACCCATCCAAAACCGCCCGCATCATCCATAAAACATTTGGTATCGTGCGTTCCTGTAAAAATTGACCCAGTCAACTCCACCACCCCCTCTACCTCAAACTAAATCACCCGAACAATAAACCGACCCAAACTACGCCACGCACCCAGCGATATAAACTCCATCCACCCTACCAGCCAACTCAACGCCAACGCCCCTCAATTCCCGACCCCCTTAAAAGAAATCCAACTTGATTCATCACCCTCCAAAACATCAACAATCACAACATAATTCCCCTCGACCCCCTCCCCCCAACCACATGAATAATTCAACATACGACAGTCCATCCGATCCAAAGTATCCATACAGACTGTAGACCAACGTAGTGTTGCTAGAGGAGCCCACAGTATACCAGAAACGCCACGCACCATTCCTTACATACACCAACCGCCCCACCCCCCCCCGTCCGGGGTCTCCCCCAACCAACTCTACCCATAACACCGCGCCCTCTACAACTACCTCACCACCTTGCCACCATCTCCGCTTAAACCCTTAACACAAGCAACGCCTCACACCTCCTCAGCCTACCCTCCTCACGAGACAATATGCTCGAAGTATCTACCGCTCCAAATACCACCCCTCCACTGAACATGCAAATAATTCGCTTTGCGGACGGTCAGCCCAGCCACCCCCCCCAACGTCAAGTCCGAAACAACACCTCTTACCAATATGCACATATACTCAATATAAATCACCCATGGTATACTACACGAACAGCACACAGTAAAACACAGTCACACTTGTAGTCTAACACAATAAAAAATCGTACCATGCCATTAAGAAATCAGATTCAAGAATAAAATTAGGAATAAATAAATAACCGACAAGACGCGGCACACACAAAACGATAAAACAAATAATAAAACCACAGCTCTCGATTTACGGTTCAACAAGCTACTATTGTGTTATATTGTTATGAATTACCAGTGCAGAAGAATATAAATAAGAAAGCACAAAATACAAATTGAAAAATCGTAAAATGGTAAAGCTATATATATAACGCACCCACCATTCCCCAAATCATCCTTAGACCTCCCAACCTAATCCACAACAACCCCCTGGACACCCCCACACTTACACACACACCACTGAACTCAGCCCCCGTTCACCCCCCCCGTATGCAGCAATCCGGAATAATGACCAGTAGCACGAAAATCAAATAATGATTCAGATTTATCTTCCGGGACTTCGTTCCCCACCATATCAAAAATAGCAAATGAAGATTTTTACTGTCCTACTGAGAAATAGGACATGAATCTTCGGAACAACGGATCCGAACGGGTTTAGCCAATATATTAAAGTCTTTAATCTAGGAAATATTAGGGAGAAGATAATCGTACATAAAGTATCTTATCACTTGAGAATTGGCGAAAACTAGATTAAAAATATTTAAACCAAGAAAGAGAAAACGACGAACTAAATTACCACTCAAAAAGCAAAAATCAACTAAAAAAGATCAGTACCCATTCACAAAAAAAACAACTTTTAAATAAAAACACCAAAAACTAGGTAAGCATCGTTTAAAAAAAAACACTCACCCAAAAGTTGTCTTTTCCATACCACCCGAAACCAAAAGACAACTACATCACATCCCACAACGACCCTTACTGACTCTATAATAACAACTAAACCACCCAGTAAAACCCAATATCTCCACCAACCCACTACCTCAACCCAGACCCCCAATACACAAGATGCTGCACACACTAACAACAAACACGCACATACCAAACCCGCACAAACCCTGCCTTTCTATCACAAAGAACCCAATCAAACACAACCCCAGTCTACCACTCCCCCTAACCCACAAAACCACTCCGCCCACACTTAAACCCCCATCCGCACGACCCCATATCTACCACCGCTTAACAACACCAGCAAGTCCAACTCACAGAACACAAGACACATAAACCCACACTGCAACACCTCCATCTACACTACACAAACATGAACATCAACGCCCCAGCTCACCCCCCACCATACGCACCAAGCAATCCTTCGTGAAGACCCACCAACCACGCCCACATCCAAACGGCCCGCACATAACCCACCCTTCCTCAAAGCCACACTAAAAACACAATCTAATAACACACCAAAACAATATACAACAGCCTAATAAAAACCAACGAAAGTAATCACAGCCCTCTAACCTCCCCACCAACCCTAGGCACCACAGAAACCCCACCTCAAACCACTACGGCTGCTTCGAGCACTCCACACCCTCTCCCTCACTAACCAAGAAAACCACCCACTACCTTTGTCCCCTGATCCTCCCCCACAGACTCACCCACCTACCGACTTCCACACCCACGTCCTTACCCCAGACACCCAAACTCGCCTACCCTACCTCCCGACACACCGCTCCCCGCCCCCCCCCGCCCCCCAACCACACACCACGCACACGCACACAACGCCTGGCCTCCGCCTTCCCTACCCCCACCGAGCCCACACACCCCCAACAAACCCCTCCACGTCCACATCTGCCCCTATCCCACACCCTTCCCTCGTGCCCCCCCTAACCCCCCTATCAGACCCCTACATGAACCACCAATAGAGGTCAGTCGCGCCAATGACATTCGGGCTTCGGAGATCAGCTACCAAGCCTCCACAC